CCGACTGGCGGCCATTTTGTTTTAAAGAATTCAGTTCTGGATCCGTATCCGAGACATGTCTGGATTGATTAAGTTCAAACTTCACACACACAAGGTACATCATGTCACAAATATGTATGTGCATTTGTTTCATGATCTCATTAACGATAGCCAAATGGCGGCCACTTTAAGGCCGAAAATGCATTGAAATCGCACATTTTCACCATTCCGGACACGGATCTCAGTTATGCATGGATGGATTTCATTCAAATTTGGTACATACATTAAACATAATAGGACCTTGATGCACGTCTTTTTTTTTTCGGATCAAGTTTGAAATGGCCGACTGGCGGCCATTTTGTTAAAGAATTCAGTTCTGGATCCGTATCCAAGACATGTCTGGATTGATCAAGTTCAAACTTCACACACACATGGTACATCATGTCACAAATAGATATGTGCCTTTGTTTCATGATCTGCTTAACAATAGCGAAATGATGGCCATTTTAAGGCCGAAAATGCATCAAAATCACGTATTTTCACAATTCCAGAACCGGATCTCAGTCATGCATGGATGGATTTTGTTCAGATTTAGCACAATGTGTTGTACATATGCAGGTGCATTTCGGTCATGATCTGCTTTGAATGTATATGTCACTCAAATATGAACGGAACGGGGACGTGTCATTGACAATGACTTGTTCTACACTGGAAATGACTTTTACTGGTTGGCTAAGACCATACACAAAAAAATTTGTGCAACCCCAGTGAATTTTTTAAGTTGTAAAATGTGTGAAATTAAATAAGTTTACAGTTGTCTGGCTTGACAACTCTGAGAATATAGTGCACTCGCAATCAGCTACAATATTCTGTATTTATTTTTAATGGTGATGCCATTGTTGTATTAACATAGTATTCCAGTTTAGATAATGTTTCTCCTTTTGGAATATTTATATATCATTTTTGCTTGCAGATAGTGTTTCAAAGCGTATTGAGGTTGCCAATCCAGTGGTGGAATTGGATGGAGATGAAATGACTAGGGTTATCTGGGAAAAAATAAAGGAAACAGTAAGTATGGTTGAACAAACTTCAAACGCTCATCACTCTGGTGCGGTATGGGAGTTTGTAGCCTTTATGAGCTCGATAATTGTTCACACTAACTTTTTGTGCAACAGTTTGTGAATTTACATTGCTTCTTTTGAACAAAATTAACATGTATTTTATTACAGACAGAATCTATTGATATTGCACGACACAAAGGATTTAAACTATACAATAAATTGCCCAGTGTGAAGACGATACTCTGGCCATATTGACCAACTCATAGTGAACTTTTTTCTTTTTACCAGTGCCTGTTTTTTCTTGTTTCACTGATTGGTATTTATTTTGCATGTTCAATGTTGTGAAATTCTAAACATTCATGCAGATTTTTGGTCATTAATGTACAAGATAGGTTAGGTCACAATACTAACCATGGAGTTAACAATGTAACAATCAAACTGTTCTAATAAAAATTCTTCTTGTTCAGTTAGAATAAAGTTGTGTAACATTGTCTGCGAATGTTACTATTCTTTGTTAAAATTTAACTACCAAGTATACAGTTTTAATCCAGTGATAAAAACATAATTATTCGTGGATGTCACTTCTGGAGTAGAGCTGAAATAAAATAGGTTTATAGGTTCATTTATTCTTCAAATACTATGTTGTGTGCTACTAAATACTTGCATGGCATTTTCTGTTGCTATGGTGATTAAACACATCTGCATGTTGCCAATTAAAAATATAATTATCCTATGAACTTTTCTAAAATGTATTTTATATGATTTTGATAAATTGTTGAGAAGTGAACTTCTGATTTGATAAAGTGGTCACTTTTTGTTACTGTGGATGAAAGGTCGTCTCTTTTAGAATTGGTTGATAAGCTGTGCTGACCTCCTACCTACTAATATCAACATGTGATGGTGTTTATAGGTCAACTCAAATATAATTCAGGACAACAAAACTTACAGAAGCGGACACGTTATTGTACCACCCACTTTTTTGTGGGTCACTCATGTGGCTAGAAATCTTTGTCAAAGTCAAGTTTTAAGTTCACTTTTGTCGTATCTAACAACTTTAATTGTCATCACCAAAACAATAACTTTCTTGGACTTAATTGACAATTTTGTTGCAGTTGACAACAATCAACATAAACATTTTTTCCCCCCATTTTCTCAAAAATTTTGGTCATGACCTGTAAGCAAGGGGAATTGTGTATGTGTGTATATATATATATGGCATTCAAAAGGTAAGGCTTCATATAAAATGTCACCGCTGTGTAAAAAATATTAGCAAATTCATTAAACTGTATTAATGAAATGAATAGAATTGTTTACACTGATTTTGTATTAAGTCGTGATATCTTTATTTTTATGCTGATAACAAAATTATAAAATCCTATGAATAATTTAACCCTTGATGAGTTGTACATTAGAAACAAATTTTGTCACTGAATGTATCAATTATTGTTCTGTTGACTTCATATATGGTTATGTACAGCAAGGTTTTAAGGCAGTTTGCGCTCAATTCTAATTTTATCCTAACCATGGTTTTGCAAATTTTCCATGACATTTGGTCTTTGTTTCCTGAAAAATTGACTGATGACCCACATTTTTCTTCTTTCATTTTCAGTATACTGATAGCATATATAATGCATTTTAATGAAAGTTGTAAAAAACCAGACATACAATTTGGAATTTGAAGCAAACCACCTTAAATTAAAAAATACCTGATTATGTTGGCATCCTCAGTTGCCCTTTGAATTGCGTTCTTAAAATGAGCCAACTGCCAGTAAATATTTATTGGCTTGCTTTATATGATTACCAGACTTTAAAATATTTAAATTTCACTAGGTAGACTAAAATTTGCTTGTTGGTGTTATAAAAATAAATAATTAACATTACATGGGAATATAAAAAAAAAGTATGGTCATTTTATCAAGTCATAATGATAATAGATTGACCTTTGGTGTTACTGTACTTAACTGGAATGTAATTCACCTCAGAATTGAGACCTGTGGTTAGTACAGATAGAAAATTGGTCAAATGTCATTTGTTGGCTGTTTTGGGTTTATTACTCTAAAATTGTGTCTTTTTGTGTGCTGAATCTTGGCAAAATGATCATTGGGTAAATACAAAAACTTTTGAATAAATTATAAATTGATTTAATTTATTGACTCCCATGTGCGAAGCACAAAATGGGAGTCTTTGCAGTTAGTGTGTCTGTATGTGTGTATGTGTGTATGTGTGTATGTGTGTATGTGTGTATGTGTGTCCGACTGTTCCACTGCTATCTCAAGAACCATACATCGGTTTTTGATGAAACTTGGTGCATAGATGCTCTGGGCCAATGCGCAGATTTGATTAGGTTTTGGTAAAAATCCATGCTCGTTAATTACCTAATTTGCATGATAATTAGCTAATTTTTAGCTGTTCTATGACTGTTCCACTGATATCTAAAGAACCACTCATTGGATTTTGATGAAACTTGGTACATAGATGCTCTGAACATATGCGCAGATTTGATTAATTTTTGGTAAAAATCCGTGCATATTAATTACCTAATTTGCATGATAATTAGCTATTTTTTAGTGGTTCCATGACTGTTCCACTGATATCTAAACAACCACTCATTGGATTTTGATGAAACTTGGTACATAGATGCTCTGAACTAATGCTAGGTTTTGATTAGTTTTTGGTAATAATCCGTGGATACTAATTACCTAATTTGCATAATGATTAGTCAATTTTCGGTTTTTC